TGGGATTAATAAAGTATTTTTGAATTTAATTTTTTTAATTGAAAAGTGGAGTTGGACCGTTGATTCTGAAGATTTCTGAAAGTCTCTTTTATTCTGGACTGTTCCTAGATTTTCTCTTTTTCAGTCCACTTCTTGTGCTTGACTATTTTCTGTCCATCCATCCATTCATTCATCATCCATTCATCATCCATCTATCATCTTTTATCATCTTTTATCTGCTTCTTCCTTTTTGGGTGACGAGGGTCACTGACGTCCATGTCCAGCAGTCACTGTGTGAGAGGCAGGGGACACCCTGGACATGTCTCCAGTCCATCACAGGGACACATAGAGACAAACGGGACAAACAACCATTCACTCTCACCTAGGAACAATTTAGAGTTTCCAGTCAGTCTAACATGCATGTTTTTGGTCTGTGGGAGGAAACTGGAGTACCTGGAGAAAACCCACGCAGCACTGAGAGAACATGCAAACTCCACCCAGAAAGGCCCCCCCGGCCGGGATTTGAACCGGCAACCTTCTCTCTGAGAGGCAACAGCCCATTTTCTGATCATTTCATGCAAAAATAAAAACAATCTGTAAATTACAATTTGTTTAGTCAAATCTATGAAAAATGCTCATAATAACTAATTTTTACAGACAGAAAAGGGAATTTTAGCTCGATGAAGATGATTCTCAAGACTTACGGACTGAAAAGTGAAGGACAAAAGCTGTTTCCAGAATCAGACAAGTTGGATTAAAGATCTGACCGAAGCATCGTCCTTCAGTCGATCATCTTTCGGAAGTTTTCAACTGCAAAGAATGAACGCTCAACGCTGTACAAGATAGCCTGGATGACTGGAAACAATATATAAAGAAATGAGGTCTGGATTAAAACTTTTGCACTGTGTGACGGTGGGAATATGTAAGGAGTGTGTTGTTTTCAGGTTTGGAGACAGTTCCCTGCAGGAGAGAGTGAATCATCAGAGCTGTGAGCGTCTCCAGGCTTACTGTACCTCACTGAGAGACAGACTCCCTCACATGGGTAAGACCCGGCCGGTCCGTTCTGTCTGACCCGATGGGCTTTGTTCTGTTCTGCACAGTTTAGCTCCAAGATCTTTACTTTCATCTTTCCACCTTTTATTGTTGAACCCTCAGGAGGTCCTTGAACTCTCTGAGAATAAGTGTTCCTCAGGGGAAACTCCAACACTTTGCATAAATGTTTAAAATGAAAATAAACACGTCAGTCTTTTAGAGTTATCACAATTTAAAATAAAATGTCAAATCTAAGTAAATTCTTCATCTTAGAATTTTTTTTAAATTTCAGTTCAGGGTTTTGGACCATCCCGCCGACCAAACCCTCAAGGTCCATGAGATAAAAACAAGGCCTTATTTAGGGTCAAACTTGCACAATTAGGGTCGATGGCGGTTTTATAATTTTTTTCTAAAATTATATTTCCAATGTGCATCTCATATATCCAGTGTGCGTCTCATATATCCAGTGTGCGTCTCACATTTCCATTGTGCGTTTCATATATCCAGTGTGCAATTCATATTTCCAGTGTGCAATTAATATTTCCAGTGTGCGTCCTATTTTTCCAGTGTGCGTCTCATATTTCCAGTGTGCGTCTCACATTTCCAGTGTGCATCTCATATATCCAGTGTGCGTCTCACATTTCCATTGTGCGTCTTATATTTCCAGTGTGCAATTCATATTTCCAGTGTGCGTCCTATTTTTCCAGTGTGCGTCTCATATTTCCAGTGTGCGTCTCATATTTCCAGTGTGCATCTCACATTTCCATTGTGCATCTTATATTTCCAGTGTGCAATTCATATTTCCAGTGTGCAATTCATA